ATAAATTCAACGAATACATTTAACTTAGTCCTTGAAATTATAATTTATCCTTCGTACTTAAAATTAGTTTAATTATTTTTGATTAATAATTTAGTTATCTAACTTGAATCACTTAAGTTTACTAGTTGTAAACCTCCTGTTGGAACCTTATTTCGCCTGACAGGTCGACTAGTAACAACGTTACGATCGTAAATGTACTTTCCTGAATTTTTATGTTGTAACACTTCAATAATTGCACTGGAACATATATCACATGTTATAAGTAATCTAATATTATCTTACATTTTTGAAGTGAATTTTTGATAGCTAGGTGCGAGAGTGGTAATAATATTAATAAGTTTGTCATCAGAAAATTTAATTAGACATAAATTTTCAGAGGGCATGTGATATTTCTGTAAGTTTATACCTAATTAAATTTTCTGATAGTGATTATGCTAATTTTCAACTTTTATGATATAGATCAAATTATTATTCTTCTAGCAGTAGGTATTAATACGAAATTGATAGTTATTAGTATTATATTCTGCATTACAGTTTTCTTCTATATGTACTTTCTTCCTTGACATATAATTTTAGCCTCTTGTATATACGTAAATATACTGTCAGAATATGCTATCCTTTTTATTCTTTTTATTATAGGTAATTATAATAAAAAAGCCTTACTCTAACCTATAGTTTTCAAGCTACCTTAATTAAAAAATAATTTAATTTTTTTCTTTAATTAAAATAACATTTCCAGACACTACATATTTATCAAGTTTTGTTCAATCATTAAAAAATATCTCAAATGTTATTGGATAAAGTGATTCACTTTCATTAAGCTTGCTAAAAGGAATCTCTTTCAGATTTTTAAATAATTTTATTTTACATATTTTCTCTAATAGGCTCTATTTCAAGTATTTCTTCTAATAGTACCTCAGGAGAGATTTTATTATGAAAAAAATTAGAAGGAAAAATTGAAGAGGTGAAAGGAGAAATGTGAAAAAAAATATTGTATTATACATGGCTAAGTATGTCATGTATATTTAGTTATGGCATAAATACATTTATTGCTTATTATGATAATCATGTTATTATAAGACTTCCAATTATATTTGTTTATATTTGTTAATATGGATTATATAATATGGTGCACAACACCACTGGTATAATTTAAAGTTTTCAATAATCAATGTTATAAATTAATAATTATATTTGTGTAACTAAATATCATGTGAACATGTAATATTGTACTACTATCATATAACTAACTAATATATGTCACTAAATATAAATATAGTCAGACTTCTTTATAGTTATCTTCCATAGTCACATTTATATTTTTACCAATTATTTTATTATTTATTTTACTTCTGTATAAGTATAATTGCATTATAGTCACTATTACATTTTTTATTGACCACTTATATGAATTGTTCTTTATAAAATCACATATTATATAAATTTTAAATTGGTCAATAATAATTTAATTTTCAGATCTTAAGATAATGTGAAAAATTTTATTATTATAAATGATTTTTTTTATTAAGTTTTAATAAATATAATTAATAAATGTATACTATTATTATTATTGTTTATTAAAATAGAATTAATGTATGTATATATTTATAATTATTGTTATTAATATTATAAATTAGTTTTAAAAAAAATAAATCTAGAGTGTAATGCTGACATCAGATTCATTAATATGACTAAAAAAAAATATAAGTGAAATTTGTTTCTTATTTTTTTTTCTTTTATAATGTCATTCTTTAAACTTTTTTCACAATATTTTTAATTCATTCTTATTAAATTCCTTTCTAACTTCAAGACTTTTTTGATAACTTATAACTTTTTTCAATACTTCAATAGCCTCTGTAACAGTTATTGGAGATGATAGTAATCTCTTATCATCATCAGTTTTATCATCATCAGTTTTATTATTATTGTAAAATTCATTAATAGCTATTTTGATAATAATATTTTCTGTTAATATATCCTCTGTTCTAGCTAGTTGATCAATTATATAAATATATTTTTCAATATTAAATATCAATTGTTGAGTCTCTGGATTAGAAAAATTATTAATTAATGTTATAGTATTATTGATCTTATTTTCTGACTCATTTTTTTCTTGTTCACTCATTTCTAATTCATCTATTTCAAGTATAATTCTAGTACACTAATTGAAAATTAATAAATTATATACATATTGGGTACTCAGTGTATATATGATTTATCAATTTTCAATTAGTGATAGTTCTTCAATAGTTTTTTATAGTAGTGTCACTAATATCCTTCTAAACTTTAACAATAAAATTGATGACTTCTCTTATATTAAGTTTTCTATATTTTATAATAGTTAGATAGTTAGATAAGATAAAATAATAAATATATAAATATAAAAAAACTTTTACTTTTGATCTTCATTTATTTCAAATTGTGTGAGCAAATGATAACAATACAGTTTTTTATATTTTAATTTGAAGCTATTAATAATATCAGCATCCATAGGCTAAATATGAGTAGTCATATTTGATAGAAGAAAATATACAGTAATGTTTATAAGACCTGAAATTTGTTTTGATCAGTTAGAATGTATGATATTGAATTTTCTTTGGGATTCTCTTTGTGATCTTTCTTGTGACCTTCCTTGTGGTCTTTCTTGTAGTCTTTCTTGTGACCTTCCTTGTGATTCTTCTTGAAGTTCTTTAATTTTATCAATGAAATTATTCTCAGATAGTGATTCATCTATATTATCATCTTGAATTTTACTTGAATTATTTGTTCCTGGAATCTTATAAGATATCACATTATTAACAAGAAGTAAGACTTGTTTATTCTGAATACAAAAACTATCATCTATATAATATAACCATTGTTCTCAAATATCATTTCTTATCCATTCTTTTTTATTATTTTTATATATCACTGGTAATTGTGAAGTATTTATTCCATTAAAGTACTGTGATTTTTTAAAAATACCAATAACTAGTAGATAAAACTTATGAAAACCAGTTGAATTGGAACAAAGTAGTATAGTTATTTTTGTTTTTTTCTAAAGAAATTATTATTATTTATTTAAATTAACTTTTTTAAATTAATTATTTTTTTTAGCTCACATTTTTTTTTTCAGCTATTAGTTTTTTAAAAAGAGTTTAATTAGAAAGCAATTGGTAGAATAGATCCATTTTGTCAGTATTATATATATCTTCTGAATTATGATAAGAGAGAAGTTTTTACCATTTCCATTTCTTAAGTAAGTTTTTCAAAGATATACTTGTTGTTTCGTTGTGTATTATAATTTTTCTTATTCCATTATGTTTCTTAAATTTAGTAGTTCACCTATTTAAAAATATAAGTGACCTTTCAGGTATAACAAATGTTTGTGCAAATTGTCAAGTTTTTTTTGTACTAATAAATCTGAAATAATTATTTCTTCAGTTGTGACCTGTTCTATTTACATATTCATAGTAAGTTCTAATATTGAATACTTCACAGGATGATAACAAAAAGTTGTTTCAACAAAATCATCTTGAAATTGATATTCATCAGCTCTCTTTAATATTTTTGATATAGTCGAATAACTAATTTTCAAGTTTGAATAATGTTTCATAAATTCTTCTGCTATTTGTTATTATTTAGTGAGTTCATATATTTCTTTTTTTGGTTTGTCACTAATACAGTAATGATTTTTTTTAGGTACAGATTCAAGAGGCATAATATAAATAATTGGAAAAGATGGATTGTTAAAAAAAAGTCAAAATCAATCATTATTTGATTTTATTATTTAATCAATTAATAATTGATAATTGATTTTCATAATTATCAGGTTTTTAATTAATATAATTTTTTATATAGTCACATATATATTTTTTAATATAATTGTGACTATATAGAAAAACTTCTATAATAGTCACATTTCTATATAGTCACTGGTTTTTGTATCCTAAAGATGTAACTATAAAGAAGTTTGACTATATTAGTTAAAATATTATTAAAATATTACTATTTGTTAAATAAATTAATATTTACTAATTGAATTTTAAATATTATTATTATTTAATGTTGTTACTAAGTATTTGCAGGTGTTTTTAATATTGTATACTATATTTTTTTATCATAATAATTTTATTTTATAACACTATTTCAAATTATATTAAAGAATCAAATTGAAAAACCTAAAACTGAATCAAAAAAAAACTAAACCTAAACTGATTTATAATAACTTGTACAGAATACTAATTATAAATATAATTTTAGATATTTTATTAAGTAATAATTTTTTATAATAAAATTATTAATAATTTAATTTAATTTGTAAGACAATACTTATTTATAAATTATTTTAATTGAAAAATTTTAGTTCAGGTTCAGTTTGTTTTAATAAGATTATAGTTCAGTTTTGGTTCAGGTTTTATTAAAATTTTTAGTTTGGTTCAACAATAAAACTAGTTCAAACTAAATTGTTAGAAGCTTTAGCTTGAGGTTCTAATATAGATGATTAAAAAAGATTTTTTTAAGTATTTTTTTTTCAAAAAAAAAATTATATATAAAAACTGATTATCAAGTTATATAGACTTAAGAACAATAGCAGACTTGTCAAATACAAAAGAATTACTATATCAAAAAGAAATTCTGATTTTAGTTAATTTATAATATAGGACAATTTATTTTTAGTAATTTTTAGCTAATTTTTAATATAGGAATTATCATATTTGACTTGTGAAAACAATGAAAACAATGGTGAACTTGTGAAACAATTATTAATCAAAAACAAAATTGCTAGTTAAAATCATCAAAAATTAAAATTCTTAAGTATATAAAAACAAAATCAACCATTCTATTCTTTCCTATTCTAACCATCTATTTTTTGTAAATTAGGAACTTACTGAATAATTATAGACTTGTGAATTTATATTACAATTCTATTTAAAAAAACTTATAATATTAGGGACACCATTTTTATCTAACATTTCAGGAGTTATTCCAGTTAATTTAAGTTAGAATTTAATATAAAAATTATTTCTAGGTCTAATTTTTTTTAATTATTTTAGCAGATGGTTTGAGTAATAAAATTTTTTAAACTTATTGAATGAACAAAATAATCAATAATTTAATAATAATAATAATAATAATAATTATAATAGTGATAGTGATAGTAATAATAATAATAAAATTTAATATTAAATAATTATATGTTTTATATTATATTGAAAACCTTTAATTTTTTAATTAATAAATGTAAACAAAAAAAAAAAAAAATAATTTTTGAACAACCTTCAACCCCATTGATTCCATCAAATTCATAGTTCAGTTTGATCCCATCAACCCTATCAACTTTGGATCAAACTGAAATTCAATCTGATCTTATCAACCCACAACCCCATTAACCCCAATCAGTCCATTGACTTGAGCAGTTTGGTTTGATTTATATCTTCAAGTCGATTAGGTTCAGTTTGACTTGCTAATGATTTGACTTGACAACAATTTGACTTGACTTTGACCTCAAGTCAAATCAAGCTAGACTGTTAACAACACTAGAGTAATTGGCAATGCCAATTACACAAGATATAATCTTGCAAATAAACTTCTTACAGTCATGACACCAGATTTGGTTTCCCGAGATGAATGAATACAAAGGTGAGGAAGATTTTAAAATTTTGTTTTCGACCAGTTTATTTAAAAAAAAATAAAATAAAATAAAAAAATATTTACTTCTCCAGACTCAATTAAAACGGGTTAAAAGAAAGTTGTAATAAAGAAAATAAAGAATAAATTTAAATTATTTTTTGTCAATATAATTATAATTTCTACAATCATTTTCTTAAAATTTAAATTTATTAATAATAACTCAAATAACATATCTAAATTTATTTAAATTATTCTAAATTATTCTGTAGCAATTTCGAATATCCCAAGAGATATTCCCTCCCGAATTCTTCTCATTTTTTCTGTACGAGCCTTATCTTTTAATTGTACAGGTGTACGTTCACGTAAATGTCCATGAGGTCTACCATACACATCTAAAATCTTACGCCATTTTGTTCCATGTTCCATCATTCCCTTTTCAAGAGTATCCAATTCAAGATTTGACCATTTCTTTCTCCGTTTTTTCATGATATTTCTTCTTGTTGTTGATGTTCTCATTTGATCTTTTTCACCTTTTTCATTTTTTTCTCCCTCATCTTCCTCTTTTACCATCTCACCCTCACTATTACTACTACTATTATTACTACTACTACTATGTTTTAAATATGAAAATGGTTTTTGGGATATTTGATTTTTTGTTGTTGGTAATGAACAATAATCATCTTGCAAAGTAAGATTTAACCCGTTACCTATAATCAATCTAATAAAGGAAAACGTTGTATGTCATTTAAAAAATAATTTTAAAATATCCGAAATTTTTTCTTTAAAGTTTTTAAAAAAATCGATTGATATATTTATGATCACTCACTTGGGTTTCATAAATGGGTTCATCCGAATTCTATTTTTATTATTCTCATTGTCATCTTTATTTGTGTTTTTTACACTTTGTTCGCCTTCTATAAATCTATTCAATTTGTTCAACTTATTCGAAGTTAAGGGATTCATTTTTTTTTAAAAGAAGTTTAAAATTCAATGCATTGTATTATTTATTTATTTATCATTCGAACAGTTTTGAATGGTTGTGGTGTGGCGTCGACCACATTTCTGTGGCGTTACACTTGTTTTATCAACCTGGTCACTTACTTTTGTCTACAGTCCCATATAAAGTACTGATACACAAGAGATAAAAAGATTGTAAGCACAAGAAACCGACACAAGTAGATTTTATGCCTTTAACATGTTGTCAGTTAATAATCAGCGACGTCCTTCAGTTGATACAAATGTAACTCCAAACGTAGGATTAAGACGACCTACAAATGAACAAGATTCACATAACCACAGCAGTTCTACTTATCACAACGGTCGACCAATTTCACCATCGGCGTCGCAAACGCTTACTGGTAATGCAACTCCTGACGGTCCTTACTCTACACTTGAAGCCCGTTCACGTTCACCTTCAGTATCTAGTGCACATTCTTTAATCGATTATTCGACTGCAAATTCACACAATATTCATCAGTTGGAACAAAATTTACAGCGGTTGAATTTAGTTAACATAACAGAAAATATGGAACCTAGAAATTATAATTCTCCTAGTCCAATAGTCACTAATGTTGATTGTTCTACCTTAAGTAGTCCAACTAATTCCATTACTTCCATTACCGCGGCTTCCTTAACTCGTAAAGACCACATTACCGGACATACTCATGATCGAAGTAGATCTACTTCAATAGATGGAGATATTGAATATTCTACTTGGTCTATGGACAAAGTGGAACAATGGCTTGATGCTAATTCTTTTAGTGATTATAAAAAAATCTTTGTCGGTAGTGTATATATAGATATATTAGAAATATTTACATTAAAATTCAATTTTAAATAAATAAAATAAAATGTATTAAATGAAAAAAAAAAACGGAACTATTTATTTTTTTTTTAATTTAGAACAAGAATTATGTGGAGAGCGATTCTTCAAACTTGGTAATTATACAAATGCTAAGAATCTACTTAAAGGTGATAGTGAAAGTCGATCGAAATTAATAACAGCTATAAGGAAACTTGGAGAAGGCAAACAAAAACGACATTCTTCTTCTGAAAAGGTTTGATAAAGAATTTTTTTTATTTTTTAAAATCAAAGAAATTTTTTTATAAAAGAGATTTATATTTTCTAATATTAGGGTTCTCAAGATGATACCATATATAATAGTCCAAGTGCATCATCATCATCATCTTTACTTGGACAAAATTCACCATCAACTCAAAATATATCTACATTACCAATTTCCACTCCTCCAAATAATTCTAATCATCCTCTTTCACCACAAAATAAAACATTAAAATCATCTACCAGTTCTATTGATTTACGTAGTACTAATTTAAAAAATTCTACCAATAATACAAATGTTCCAATTATTACTCCAAGATCATCTTCAATCGGTTGGGAAAAGAATCATTCTTCTTCTAACTCAACTATTTCTCAAATTGAACAACCAATTTCTTCTTCAAATATTGACAACGGACATACTAATGATACTCGAAGACTTCAAACAATTCCGCAAAATGAAAATTCATTTTACGCTAATCAACCCGTAATGCCTCAACAGGATCAATATCATAAATCTGACAAAAAGCGAACTAATACTAATAAAAGTATTGCTCATAATAGGGCACGAAGTTATTCTGTATGCGTTTTATTATTTATTTATTTATTTATTTATTATTTAAAGATAATTAAAAATATAGAAAATTAATCATAGAAATTAATTAATTATAGAGTCATAATTAATGATATTCTTTATTTTTCAATAGTCAGGGGATAATATGAAATACCCTCCTATAAATTTTCTTCAACAAAGAAATGTGTCAAATATTTCAAATACAATTCCACAACGAAACATACAAATAACTGAAGATATGACAAATTTTATTGTGGTTAATATTACTAGTTGCCAAGATCTTACCTCTATTATAAATGTGATATTTTCTCGATTAAAAATTGAGCAAAGTGACAGAGAAGATTACGCTTTTCATGTGGCAGAGATTGGACAAGAAATTGGTAGGAATTGATTAAATAATAATAAGTATTCATTATTGTTTTTTTTTATTAGTATATAAAATTTTATTAAATTTAAATTTTTAGGTCCTATAATAAGCAATGAAGATTTGTTACAAAAATGTTTAAGTGCAGATGCAAAGGCATCTTTAAAACTTTTAGTCAAACGAATACAACCACCAGAATCTTATTATGCGATTCCACATCCCCATAAAAAGCTTACCCAATATTCTTCACAATCGGAATTAGATCAAATATCTTCTAATAATAATAATATAACTGACGATCGAAAATTTCGTTTTCCTGGTGGATTTAATCCTTTGATTAAAGGTTGGAATGGATTATCACCAGAAATTATCCCAATATCGGAAGAACCTTCAGATATCAATAAATTTAGTGGTGTGAAATTTCCAGTACCATTTATTGATCATCAAAGAAGCACTTCAAATATTAGAGCAAATTCTGGTTCATCTTCCCAAAACATATACGCACCTGCACCTGATTATAATACTTCAAGTAGACCCGCTGCTTACGAACCTTATTCAAAGAATCATCGTAAATTAGCATCTGAAGATAATGATTTTATAAATAACCAAGATTCCTCATCCCCGAGTCATGGTATTGTTCATGATATTGTTCATGATAATTCACTTTCTCAACGAATTAATCATTCCCAAGTTTTACAACCTGCCGGGCGTCGCAGTAATAATACTGGTCGCGATAACATGACTCAAAATGTCTCATCACAAATACAAAAGACAAACAGCCATCCGCAATCATATAGTAATTTACAATCTCCTCACCAAAATACTTTAACTACCACGATTCCCACAAATGTGCCTTATGGTAAACTTAGTAAATCTCAGCCTCACTTACCATTGAATCACGTAAATGATAATCCTCGAGAAATATATGAACCAGAGCAACGTTATCAACTTAAGCAATCCGGATCATCTGAACCAGATCTTACACTTAGAAAGGTTGGAAAATCACAACCTTTGAGAAGTTCTGCATCTACCCCAGTTGCAAAAAGATCAGGTCAAGTTATTATGCCAGAAGAAGAAAAAGAAGAAAAGTCTCTTTGGCCCAAGATTTCGTCTACGTCTGACAAATCTTTACTTCCAAAAGACGATGATATTTCATTATGGGCCGAAAAACCAAAACCCACACAAAAAACAAGTTCCAGTCACGTAAATCAAGAATCTCCAATAGTTGCTTCTCCTTCTCTTCCTGACCGTAATAGTCCTATTGATAATTTAAATAGATCAATAAATACTACTGAGTCTAAAAAATCAGATTCTACATTAATTGTTCAATCTGATGAGTCAAAAAAAACATTATCATCAAGTAACGGACAATCAAATGTATTTAAAAGACCAGGTTCCGTAGATTCGGCGATTAGTCTAAGTCAGAATAGTTCATCTGAAAATATTAATCAAACAGATAATAGAACTAATAATAAAGATTTAGATGCAACATTAGTTTCAGATGAACAACTGTCAAATCAACCTAAACCCACCAAACCTTCTCAAAAACGTTCTACAGGTGGTTTAGCCCGTACCGTATCAAAACGTAGAGGGGTGAAAGTTGAAGAATCCTGGGTCGAAAGACCAACTGCTGAAGATGTGTTCGATAATATTGAGCAATACTTTCCTGATCACGATATTGATATGCCAATTGTGGGAGCTCAAGGTAATATGAATACGGTTTCCGAAAATGAAGATTCAACGCAAGCTACGCCCTCACCCAACGTAGCTGAGAAAACCGGTGCCGGAGCAAAAATTGCACGTGGAAAATCAATTCGTGTTGCTGTTCATGAAGCAAAAGAACGAGAAAGACGAGAACGTCGCGAACGTTCTAAAATGAAAGAAGCTGTAAATAAAGTAGTTAAACAACAAAGACAACTTCATAGGAAACCGACTACTAAACTATGGGACAAGAAAGTTGTTGAAGAAAGGCCATCAAATAAAAAAATTCCGAGTCTTCCTAATTCAAAATCCTATGAAGAGTCTGCAGAAAGAAAACGTAAGAAATATATTCTTATAGTTTAACTGATGATTGATAAATGTTTGAAATTTTTTTTTTTATTAATTTCTATTTAAAACAAAATAAATAGCTGTTAAGTGGGTTAAAGGTGAACTTATTGGTAAAGGAACTTTCGGTAAAGTTTTTCTCGCCATGAATTTGACCTCATCTGAAATGATGGCTGTAAAACAGATCGAATTACCAAAAACCAAACATGATCAAAGAAACGAAAGACAAAAGACTCTGGTGAGTATTTTAGGGATTAATTAATTACATAAACGTTAATTCCAAGATAGTTCTAATACTACTTTCATTATATAAAGATAAAAGCTTTTAAGGACGAAATGGAAATATTGAAAGATTTAGATCACGAACATATTGTGACATATATTGGTAATTGTCTTATTCAATTTATCTTATTTTGATGACATAAAAACTTATGATTAAAATTTCATTTTTTTTTTGTTTTTGAAAAATAAATAGGTTATGAAGAAAATGATGATACTGTTAATATTTTTCTTGAATATGTTAACGGTGGTTCTATTGGTACGGTATTGAGAACTCATGGAGCGTTTAAGGAATCTGTCGTAAGATCATTTACTCGGCAAATATTATTAGGTTTGCAATATTTGCATGATAAGAATATTTTACACAGGGTAATTAAAAATATTTCTCTTTCAATAAATCGATTTTTGATTTTCTATCAGATCATATTAACATATTTTTGATAATTTGATAAAATTTTCAAATTAGGATATTAAATCAGATAATATTCTTGTTGATGAGGAAGGCTGCTGCAAAATTTCTGATTTTGGAATATCCAAGAAAAACGGTAAGCAATTAACAAAAAAAAAAAAATTTAAGATTTTTATAGTTGCAACAACAATATGATGATAACAATAATAATAATTATTATTAATTCAATATTTAGAACAAGGCATCGCTTATGATTATAATTCTAATATGTCATTGCAAGGGACAATATTTTGGATGGCACCTGAAGTATTTACTGCGGGATATAGCGCAAAAGTAGATATATGGTAAGAACTAGTCAAAATATTTCTTAGTTTTTAATCAATTTGATAATTAATTTGTTCTTGTTTTAATTTTTTTTATAGGAGTCTAGGGTGTGTAGTACTTGAAATGTTTGCTGGTGAACGGCCGTGGCCAAATTTATCAGATCTTGCTGCCATATTTAAGGTGAATATTTTTGTGAAATCTTTTAAGCAATAAATATATTTTAATTTTAACATCAAATGTTTATTAGCTTGGAAGTGAGAAAAAATCCCCACCAATAAGAGAAGACATTGTTATGTCAAATGATGCTCGTGACTTTTTAAATAAATGTTTTATAATGTAAGGATACTTTATCTTTTCGTTTGTTTTAATTTGTACATTAATTCCTTTTTTTTTTTTTTTTTTTTTTTTTTGTTTTCATATCAATATCAATTTCTTTCTTTCAATTAAAGAGAGCCGAATGATAGACCAACAGCGAAACAACTTTTAAGTCATCCATTTGCGGAAGAAAATTCAAGTTTCTACTTTAAAGAATTTATAACAATTCCTGGTCGATCAAGTTAATGCTTTTGCGAGTTAATACTTTACAAGTCTTTAAAGTGCAACGATTAAATGTTAACACTAGTTAGCCTTATCAGTTATTGTATAATTAAGTATTGCTATTTTATCTTTCCTTTTTTTTTTTCATTTTAATTTTTTTCCAACTTAATAATTATTTGCTACAACAAAAATTTTGGTTTGGGATTTTTTTTTTTAATTTGTATTGGTGATTAGTTTAGGTATTGGTGATTAGTTTAGGTATTGGTGATTAGTTTAGATGAGATGAGATGAGAAGAGAAATTTCAATATTTATGTACATATTTTTATTTTTATTTTACTGCTCTTTTTTTTTCTTTTTTTTTTTTTTTTGAAACCTTTTCTTTTAATTATTTTACTAATAAAAAAAAATTATATTTTTTGATAACTATTATTAATTTGATCGTACAATATTTCTAACATTAAAATCAAAAACAAAATAACCATGTTTTAACATGCTTTATTGATTATAAATAAAACTTTCATATTTTGATATTACTAAAAAAAAAAAGTCTCATACAAATATCTTTTATTTTTCATTTCAATTTGAAGTCATGATTCATATCTCGTTCTTTTTATTTTTAGATACACAAATTTTTTTTAATTAAGTAATTTGACCACTGATTGATATATTAAATGTAATATTTTTTTTTTGGAACAAGACATAAAGCGTAACTTAATGTACGGATATTTTATTATTTGTTCATTGAAACCTTTTGTGTTTAATTGAAAGGATTTCCACCACTTCAAAGGAAGAAAAATATATTATTATTATTATTACTTAAGTCGAGATGCATCAATGCAACCTTATGTTAATGGCATTTATTTGTTTTAAGTTTTGTTCTATCAAAAGTACACATAATGTAGTCAAGAATACATTTTTATTTAATGACAATATCACTGCCTCAATATTAATATAGCTACAAATAAATGCGGGAGAAAAATAATATTATGAATAACAATGTTAGTAAGATCCAACAATTATTATAATATAAAAATTAAATAGCTTTTGAATGATATGAAAAAGTTTATTATTCCAAAAGGATATAATTCTACACTTCTAAAGAATCATTTTATATATTTATTTACGATGCTTAAAATGTATTAAAACAAATCACGCAAAATTAATAGATAAAATCTTTTTTTTTTTTTTTTTTATAATAATACATATAAAGATAAATGGAATTTCAAGAAATTTTTTCTTAATTTTTTTATGCAAAAAAATCGTGCTTGTTTCACTAATCAGACCTTTCATGTTGATAATAATAATTCCAGTAGTAGTATCTGTGTTGAATAGTACTTAATGTTAATAAAATAATAAATATAATTTAAATTAAATCTTTGCTTTTATTTCTTCTTCCTCTTTTTTTCGTATTCCTTAAATCTTCGATTACGCAACCAACAAGTGCACCAGCTAAAGAAGATGTAACATAAGATAATGTACTGAAACCCGCAGCACCAACAGATTGCAAAAATGGAATAACAACGCCACTGGTTCCGAAAGTACTCATTGAAGTAGCTGCCAAAGATTCAGCAGCGACACTACCCGCTCCAAATCCCATTGACCCAATTGCCTCTGCTACTCCTGTCACTGCGGCTGATCCAACAACACCGCCAACCACTGCTGCACCACCGACACAAATAATTTTGGGATGCTCTTGCGCAAATTCCTTGACTTGTTGGACGGCAGGTGAGATTTTTTGCATAGCAGACGAAAATTTTTCATGGCTAGAAGAGATTATTTCATCTTTAGATAGAATTTTTTCTTTAGCGTATGAGATAATATTATTACTGGAAGAGATTATTTCATCCTTGAATGTAATTTTTTCTTTAACGTATGAGATAATATTATTACTGGAAGATATTATTTCATCTTTGGATGGAATTTTTTCTTGAACGGATGCGATGAATTGATTGCCATAGGAGACAATATTGGAGAATGAAAATTTGTCATCTATTGGTAGTGCAAAACACCACGATGAATTTAAAAGCACGAAAATTTACTAGTCGTTTTTTAAAAAAAACGAAAGCAAAAAATATAGCATGACGTCAGATCAATTAATCAAAAAATAGCAGTTATTTTGATAAATCAAATTGATATTTATGTTTACAATAATTTGACCTTATAAAATTTTGGGCCCTAAAAAAATTGGGGTTGTTTGCGCCTATATGTAGTTTTTTACTCTATTTAAACCCTCACTTTTCTTCCCGCTTTTTTTTTGTTTTTTTCTTGATTTCACAATTTCACAATTTCACAATTTCACTTTCTCACTTTATTTTTTATTTTTTTTCGCTTTTCCTAATCTTTGAATTTTTACTATAAACATTTTTATTTTTATTTTCCATATTTATTAAGACGATATACTTGGATTTGAGGTACGCGTTTTCTATTTTGTAGGTACAGAAGAAAGAAGGTTTACTCTATTTTGTAGGATAATGTAAGTGTTTTAAAATTTATTAATGGAATAACGGAAAATAGAAAAAGAAAATTATATATATATATTTTTTATAATTTATAATTTGTATAATATTTTTTATAATTTGTAATATTTCCTTAATGAATAAAATAATAAATTTTGAAAGAAGTATTGAAATTATCTTTATTTTAAATTATTTTATTTAAAAATGGTCATTACAATATTACTGAAAAAAAAGGAAAATATAATTTTACTTTGTATAAATGGTTAAAAATAAGTTCCATTTTTGAGAGAAACTGGTGTTGAGGTATGAATTGTTCTTCGAAGTCTTTTGTTATTAAATTCTTCGAGATGAATCAATACTGCAGGTGAGATATGAAGTCTAAATGAAATTTAAGAATAAATATAATCATTTAAATATTTTCCATCTATCTTTCATTTCAGAATCATTTGATTGATGTATAGAGTAGAAGGAGTAGACTACAATGGAAAAATTCAGATGAACAATGTGTCAAAGAGGATATCCTCACCAACTGTACTACCAAGCATCCGCCAGAGTCACAAAACGTAATTGCTAAGCTATGCAACTGCAGATCGTTACATCAAATCAAGACAGAGAAGTAGACTACAATGAGAAAGGTCAGGGTATCCTAACACGTCTTCCACTAAATATTTGCTTTCAACTTGCCTTGATAATAGGAAAATGCGACGAAAAGATTTGCAAAAGTGCGATAACGCAAGATGTCGATCTGCACAATGATCTTATTTATGTCATATTAACTATGATTTTATCGATTTATTTTTTCATTCATGGATAAAATGGAATATTTTATAAACCTGATTCACTTTTTGGTTATCCCAGGAATATTTTAGTGAACAATCGGCAGAAGAACATATTGTTGAATGTCCGCCTGGTGCAGTTGTGTATTTTAGTTTTACCTTAATTGGCTTTGATTTTCTCATTTGTATATTCATGTCAACTATCACTTCGAATCGCGAAGAAGAATTACTTAATGAAATCAACAAATCGAAAAATGAAATTATCTCTTGGAGGAAACTGAAACACAGTATGTATAAAATAGCGAAAAATGTTGAGATTTGTTAATTTTTATTTATTAACTCAGCCATTGTATTTACCGAAACGGATGGATAAATTCTTGTGGACTGTAAAAATCCATCATGCAAGCCTTAAAGATATAAAAGAAGCTATATATGACAAGCACAAGACACCAGCACTAGAGAATGAATATGTGATATTCAATTTCACAACTGAAGGTAGTAAACATTCACCCCGAAATGATGATGCATTTCTCGAAATGCTTCGCCAATTTATTTTAGAAAAAAAACCTCATTCACCGTATTAATAGAAACCTCCTCAAAACCCTTCGCAGATTGGACATTACCACAAGTATGCTAGCTCTATGGACTTATTGATGAAAATGGAAGTACATAAAGATTCCCAAGGTTCATGTACAAAGAGCAGAATAACGAATCTTCACTGAAAATATTTAAAACACTCATGAAAAATCTAAATCTTTTTTATAAGTGCACCCTAATTCATCAAAATGAAGAAACAATATGATGACCAGTTTATAATCGAATCACAACTCAATATTGCAGGATATCATGAGCGTGGGCCGGTTGATTATGCAATACGTTCACTTGAAACTTCAAAATTTGTTAGTGTGACAGAAGTCAAACATTAAATTGAAACAGCTTTATCAAACCGCAAGCGTAAATTTGATGATATAGTATCTTTAGAGATAAGATGATTGGAATTATTACAGATGCGGCTAAATGGGAATGTTTTTATGATGATCAAGAAAAACCGATATTCAAATTATCAGAATTAATGTCTGTTAATTATAACAACGAAATGAGAGGGCGGTGTTAAAAAGATTCTTTGGGCATTTCCTGGTTATTAGAAGAGGTATAGAAACCAGTGGATTTAAAAAATGAAGGGTGCGAAACGAAAAGGTTAAAGTCATAGCAATATCAGAAACGTTAAAATAAAAAATATTACAGGTATTACGGGTTAAGTCCCATACTTTGTAAACAAAGTATGAGCCGAATTATTTTTTACTTACCATATATATTGAAAAAAATAGAATAATAAAGTATTTTTGCTACATTTATGCTTTATCATATATGTAAATCTATCACAATTAGCGATGTTTAATTTTTTGATAAGTATAATTATAATTTCAATCAGATAAAAACCATATTTCTATTGGTGAATTTAAAGTTATAGTTTCCCCAATAAGACTCAATTTTCGAAGATAACCGTGTATGGTCTTCGTAATACCAACCATATTTTTTGACGATCCAACACAATTCTTTCTTGATTTGATCCCATATTTGTTGTTTGATAAAATTATTGGGATCTCCTTTGTGAAAAAATTTAATGTATTTTTCGTGTTGTACACCTTGTGTCTCAATTGTAAAGCCATATTCTGGAAAATAAATATCAAGTTCTAATCCTGTAGGACATTCTGGTGTTTTGAGAAATTAGGTCGACGTATTTTAGATGGTGGTCCAAGGTATTTAGAAATAATTTTATAACAAAAGTTTTCATGTTTATTTAAACAAAATGGACACTACGAATTTCGATTTTTTATATTATTAAATGTTTCAATCCATATATATCATTTAATGCATTTCCGTAATAAATCTGAACAGTTATTAATATACGAGGTAGAAAGACACTTCCCATTTCTATTATAAGCAATCTGTTTAACATCTTCAAGAGTAAATCGAGGCCTCCCTCCTACGTAATGTGAGCATCATGAATTTTGATATTTTACACTTAAGCTAGTATACCATTCATGACCTTTATTACAACGCCATAATAATGACAAAATTCTATTAATGCATTTTTCGGAAATGTTTCTGTCACGTGCAGTTCTTCTAATATCCTCAAGAGTAAGCACCAAGTATTATGATTTTTTATATTTGATAAAAATTAATAATATATAAATTTTTGTCTTCAAAATTTTTATTATAAAATATGAAAACTATGAATATATTTGACAGATTCTTCTATATATAGAATTCTTTCATAATTAAATAATAAATGAAATTTTAAGAACTTTTTACTAAATTTTTTATATTTTTAGCAAAGAAATTCGTACTTATTTCACTAATCAGACCTTTCATGTTGATAATAATAATTCTTGTTCCTTAAATCTTCGATTACGTAACCACCAACTGCACCAGTTAAAGTAGTTGTAATATAAGATAATGTACTGAAACCTGTAGCACCAACAGATTGCAAAAATGGAATAACAGCACCACTGGTTCCGAAAGTACTCATTGATTTAGCCGCCTGCTTTAAATCCCATTGCCCCAATTGCCCCTGCTACTGCGACTTGTCCAACTAAACCAACTAACTGCTGCACCACCGATATAAGTGGTTTTGGGACGCAAATTGCTTGACTTGTTGGACGGCAGGTGAGACTTTTTGCATAGCAGAAGAAAATTTTTCATGGCTAGAAGAGACTATTTCATCGCTAAATGGAATTTTTTCTTTAGCATATGAGATAATGTTACTACTGGAAGATTTCAACTTTATGTGGAATTTTTTTAGAGAGAGAGAGAGAATGCTGATCTTTATGATCAACGTGACATTATAAACTGTGATTAAAAATATCATCTGATAGTCCGAGTATGTTTTCTGAGCTTCGAATCAGTACTTAATAGTACGTCGGATCAATGCATTTTTGTGTTTTGTTTGAATTGTAAAAAAAAATAGATTTTATAAATAAAAAAAATTCAAATGACCACAATCCCACAAACTCAAGACCTTCCGAGACCGGGTGGGTTTCCATCTATTCGATACAAGCGAAACTTACCAAAAAGGGGGCCTTCTGGAGCAGTTGTACTTACAGCTATGGCTGCTATAAGTGCATACGGATTTTATCGTGTAGGATTGGCAAATGAAGAGAGACGGCAAGTTTTAATTGAATTTTTTTTTTTTATTAAGAATTCAACAATTTCTGGTCATTAATTAAAACTATTCAATAATATTATATAGAGAACTTAAACGTGAAAAAAGTTGGGGACGTATACATTTAGTGCCATTACTTCAAGCTGAATTAGATCGTGATACATATCGTCGTACTTTAGCTGCTTTAGATCGTGAAGCCGAAATAATGAAAGATGTTCCTGGTTGGAAAGTAGGCGAGAGTGTTTATCATAACACTAGATATAAAATGCCAACACATATCGTCGTTCCTGAAAAAGATGTTTAATTATCATCATATACATTTATGTAAAATAGAATCTAATAAATTAAGAATTTTTCAGTACATCATTAAATTAATACATATAATAATTAATATAATATTTAATTATTGATAAAATATTATTTTTATTTTTTTTTTCTAGCAAGATATCTAGCCTTTGCATCAGAAATTGCTTTTTCGTCATTTTTTCTTGCTAATTTCTTTAATAATTCTTCCTCCTTTTGTTTTTCTTCTTCCTCTTTCAATTTTCTCGTTTCTTTAATTTGCATTTCTAATTCACGACTATATCTATCTTGTCGTCTTATTTCTTCTCTTCCTTTTGAACTATATTTATCATCATTATATTTTACATTAGACTTGTTAGAATCATCATGAGACAAATCATCACTCTTTGATGATGATCGTTTATTTTTAACAATATTTAATCCAGCTGATAAAAGTTGTCGCTTGTCTACTATTTGTTCATCATCATTTAATATTACCATTTTACCAGATGCTCTTGCTTGTTCAGCGAGTTCTTTGTCGGTTTCTGGTTGTTTATTTATAGAATCATCAGAACAATCCTTTTCTGATATTGTCCTCTTTTTACGACTTGCTTCAATAACTGCAGTCTTTTCTAAACTTGTTTGATCTAGCAAATTTCTATAGAATGCTTTCATATCTTTTGATCCAGCTGCATCCATTTTTTCTATATAAATATATAAATATATATATTATTCATTCATTAATTCGAAATCGTAGTAAATCAAGTTATTTTTAAAATAAATAAATAAATAAATATGAGAGAGATATATAAATATATATATATATATACATATTCTTGAAATGTTTCAAAGTTATTATTACCTCGTAACTTCTCTTCCGCCTCGGCTTTTCTCAATTCTTCCTGTTGTTTTTTATATCTAAAAATAATTGATTTTGGAATTGTTATAATAATAATAAAAAATTGGACCCAATTGAATAAACTTAGAAATCAATTATTTTTTTGCAACATACGCTGAAGTAACAAAAGTTTCCTTATCATCAAATTCATTTCCTTCAGCTTCTCGTTCCCTTTGTACCTTGCGTTCTTGTGCTCGAACATAATCCCGTTTTCGAGTTTCCGCCGCTTTTAATATATCATCAACATATTTCGGCTATAGACATAAATGATATCAATAATTTTTTATTTTACACTTAAATCAAAGCATAAGTCTAATGCACAAAATCCTTTCTAAAAGACCTTTTTAACCCCATTTTTATTTTCCTCCTTTTTCTTATTTCCAACACTTTTCATGTCATCATATATCTCATCATATGCAAAAACTGTAGGATCTTCTTCCAGGGCTTTGTCATACTGTTCTTGAACAGACTTACTTATAGAATTTGATGAAAGCTGCTTGTTCACATTTTTTTTATGAGTCTTAGAGTCATCTAAACTTTGATCCTCTTCGTTGAAAATCGACGTTCTTTTTAAATTTGCAGATTTGGAATTTGAACTCAAATTCAGACCGTATTTTAATTTATTTTGTTGTTGCATTTGTTATCTGATACGGATTAAAAGGCAATTGTTTCTAGTATTAACACATGAAAATTTTGATTTAAATCACATGATGCCGAAAAGGTGATCAAAAAAAGTTTTTTTTTTGACATCGGGCTTATCGGCATGGCGCGACATGTTTATGCAAGTCGAAAGAAAAAATCTTTTTTCTTTTTTTTTGTAAATCAAAGTATATTCTTTGTGTGATTTCTATCACGTGGAAGCTCTGAGTAATCTCAAATAAACCTATATATATATTTTTTCATCGATAAATTAGATCTCAATTTTTTTTCTTCAAAACCTGCAGAATTATGGAATTGAAGAAGACAATCTTAATCGGATTAAGCACTGTTGGAATAGTTGGAGTTGGTTATGCCATATACTGGGATCATATGAGGCGAACTAACCCCGAATTTAAAAAGAAGTTGAGTAAGTAAAATGTTTTAATAAATTCGGTTTTCGTTAAAAGAGCTAGGTATATGTAAATTTTTGTTGGAAAAATAAATTTAATAGAATCAATAAATTCTTATATGTAGAGGAAAGTAAAAAACGGGCCGCGAAACAAAAAAAGGCAGCAGAAAAAGATGCTAAAGTAAAAGCAGCTGGTTTCGTTAGAAAAGCTGTTGAAGAAGTTGCCAATGAATCTTTGCCCGTTGATGTCTCTGCCAAAGAAAAATACTTTATGGAACAAGTTTCCAAAGGCGAATCTTTACTTTCTGGTGGTAAGTTTAAAATCAATTTAAAATGTATTTTTTTTTTTCAACTAAAAAAAAAACCCATAAATGGTTTATTAAATGAATAGGTGAAGATTGTTATCTTGAGGCCGCTCTTTGTTTCTATAAAGCTTTGAAAGTATATCCTAATCCAGTTGAACTGATAATGATTTATCAAAAGACAATTCCAGATTCTGTATTTAATTTGGTTTACGAAATGATGAGTCTCGAGGTAGGTTTATTTTAAATTTATAATAAATTGGTTATGTTATATACTTGTTTAATTATATTCAATATATTAATGTTTAGTAAAAATAACAAAGTTGGATCAAATTTGTAGGTTAAGAAAAAACAAGCTGAATATTTTGACAACTTTCCACCTAAAGAAATGAATGTAAAAATAGAAGAGATTAGTCAAAATTCCTCTTATGATGATCATGTACGTCGTGGACTCTTTGCCACAAAGAATTTTTCTCCTGGGGACGTTATTTTTAGTGAACAACCTATTGTATCAGCTCTTGATCCTAGTCTTGAGGTAAATTTAATTATTGTATAATAAATATGTTATTATTAAATATTTATTTAAATCATTTTTGAATATCATATAGACTGGCGATTATTGTAGTTATTGTCTTAAAGAGCTTACTGGTGGACCAATCAGTGAAGAGGCTGACCTCTTTGAAGCTGTTTATTGTTCCAATATTTGTAAAGATCAAGCAACCGAAGAGTATGCCACACTTCTTTTTATCAGTTCTGATCAAAATGATTCCGAAAGTAAAGAAGCTCGGCTAGTCGAATTGGTGAAATCAGGAAATGTTAAATATCCATTGATTATTGCTCGATTTTTATCTAAAATGGTTTATGAAGAAACGCAAAAAGTTGCTTCAGGTGTTGAGGAAGAATATTCTACTTGGGATCATATTGAACGATTACGCTTCTTGAGTGTGCCGGCTACAGATAAGGAAGTCAAAGAAATTAAACTTTTGAGAGATTTGTTCGCAAGAAAAGTTCCAGGAATGGAAGAATTCATTTCTGAGGAAAGGTATTTAATGCTTAAAGGCAAACTTATGTATAATGCTTACGGTATAAATACTTCTCGAAGTAATGAGAATATAAGAGAGGTAATTTAATGATTTTATTGATAATAATATATTATTTAAATTTTATTTTATTTTTTTTTTTTTGAAGTGAAATATTTACGATTATTATTATTTTCTTATGATATGATTATTCTTATGACAGAATACAGATGAAACTGTTCGTTCAAGTAGAGGCCCTGTAATCGGGGCCGGTTTCTATCGTGTTGCTTCTTATATAGCTCATTCGTGCGATTCCAATACTGAGACGAGATTTCCAAATAGAAATAATGAATTATCAATTGTGGCTACAAAACCAATTAAGGCAGGAGATGAATTGAAAATTAGTTATATTAGAACTGGACAAAGGGATTCGGAAAATAGAAGGAGTGAATTAGAAACAAAATGGAGATTTAGGTGTACATGTACTAAATGTCTAAAGGAATCCGATGAATATCCCAATCTGAAGGAATCTCCCAATCAAAAGGAATCCGAAGAATATCAAGAATATGTCAATCTAAACGAATCCGAAGAATATCAAGAAAAATATCCCAATCCTGCTTGATCTTTCTTGATTCATACACACATATATATATTTCACTTAACATACTTTTCATTCACAATTTATAATTAACCGAAGAGATTTGGTTTTTTTTTTTTAACAATAAACTATTCCCCACTCATGTAATAATTAATGCAAATTTGCATAGATATTTTTTAAAGAAAATTGAATGTGTAGATTATAAGGAAGATTACGTAGATTACGTGTAGAATGTGTAGAAAGTGTAGCAAAAATAAATCATTTGAAAAAGATATATTTAACATTTTATTTGAATAAGAAATAAACATTTTCTTCTGAGTTGATTTTTCATATTAACAGATAAAAAGCGAACCCCAAATGCAATTCAAATTGAGTGAAAATTATTCTCTATTACATTTTTATTTATTCTTATAGAACATGTTCAATTCCTTTTCAATTTTTACTCAATTATTTTTCAATCACTTTTTTTTAAATGAAATTAAACTTTTTCTATAAAAAGTGGCAGACATGTTACTAAATTTGAATATCATATATATATATATAATTATATTTAAAATTTAATAACAATCATCATTTATTCAATGAAAAGGAGGAATGATCTTATTAAGTACTGAGAGAGAGAATATAATGAGAAGCTATGAGAAAATATATATATATATATATATTTATTTAAATAGATTGTTAATAAATATTTGATAAAAATAAATAGATTAATCGAATTAATTTATTTATTTTTTTCGTACCTTATTTGCAGATATTTTTTTTCCTTCCTTATTAAAGTAATGCTTTAGCCAATTATTTTAATTTCTAATTTATCTAATTTAACTCATCGATGTCAAATCCATCGATTATCAATTTTTGTTTATTATTATTAGATTCTTTGGATTTCTTACTTTCGTGATGGTGAATAACTTTAGTGTTAGGTGTTGTTGATTTTTTTGAAAGAATATATTGAATATATTCATCATAAGTTATATTATGTTTTGCACTTTGATAACGCGTTAGAACGACGCGACTACGAATTCTATCGGTAATTCTACCATTGTATCCACTTTTTCTGAGAAGAGAATCAATAGTTTCTTCCTTAGTCCAACCTGATAAATTTTTTTTTATATTAAATATATTAAATATGGAATCTTTAAATTAATCTTTACATATGATGAAATCTCTTTTGAAAAAGAAATAATTTACATTGTTCTTCCGCAACTTCAGGTAAGTAAGTACCAGATCTACGACGATTGTGGTCATCAACGAATTCAATCCAAATACCGTGAACACCAATCTAAACAAATATTATTATTATTATTATTATTAATATTACTATAAATAAATTATTAGATAGAAAAATTATTATTATTAATTAATTAATTATGAGAATTCGATGTTTACCTCCCAGTCGAGATAATCATCTGCATCTTCAAATTGTGTCAAAAGAGAAACTCTAATTATATAATTTTCGTATAATTGTAATTAATGATTTAATAAATGATTTATTGTTTTAAATGTTTTAGATGAACAAAGAAAAAACTTCTTTTTTTTTTTTTAAAAAAAAAAAAAAAAAAAGCAAACCCGCAAGTGAGATTAGTCAATTCTCTAGCTGTAATAGGTGTAAATCTTCTATCATGAATAGCACTAAATAAAAATATAGACAAAAAGTCCAACCATGTGATATGAAAAAAGTAAGGATTAAAGGTACAAAAAAAAATTTCCCAAAAACTAAATTTCTGTAGATACCAAGTCTGCCTTTTTTTTTTATAAGCAAGACAATTTTGTCAATGTTTTAATTCCATTTATTTATCCATATGTCCAATATTCCTCGATGCCCAATAATTATCGACGATTATCAATTATGGATTACCTAGTTATTGCGTATTCTTTCAAACCAGAATGAAGAGAAAGAGGTTCAAAATTTCCGATACAGCCACGAAGGCGTAGTTGATCATGATGAACAACATTCCAAGTCACAAAGAGTGGACTTTAAATATAATAAAAATTTGTACGGATATTATTAAATATAATAATAAAATATATTAAATAGATTAAAATAGATTAAAATCGGATTAAATATATTATTAAATATTAAATATATCAAAATATATTAAATAAATCAAATATATTAAATATATCAAATATATTAAATATAATAGACATACTATTGATCATCATCGAATTCTGGTTCTAAAGGTACTCTTCCTTCAAAATGGGCGACCAGAACGTCGAAACAATAAACGCAGTGTTCAATTCCGGCAACCATTTAAAATGTTTTTCAACAATTTATTTATTTTTTTTTTTATAGTAAAAGAAAGCCCGGCCGCTGCTGACCGTTTCCTAAACTTTATGTAAAACGATGACGCGTTTTTTTCCTTTCGCAGGAAAGAAATTGTTCGGTATATAGAACAACAAACAACAGCGAACGAGCCGAAATTCTTCGGAAATAGGACTTATCATATATGTATAATATTATCGCACACCCGTGATCCATGACGCAGTGGTGACAAATGTGACAAATATGGTTGTTCAAAGTAAATCATAAAATCTATAATTATCAATTACGTACTTCACATGTTAATTAAATCTTTAATTCAATAATTAAAAAATTATACATGTGATTAATCAAAAATGTCCTTATCTTTTTTTTCTATAAATTTCTGTAATCATTTTTTTGCAACCAGAAATATATATATGTTGATATACTGTGTTCATGTACTAACTATAATTAACTACAATTAACTACAATAAAACACGGTAAACACGGTGCATGCATAAAAAGTTAGGCGTTTTTAATTCTCGTCAAAAAAAAAAAAACCTTCGTTTTTTTTTTTTTAACGATGATATAACTGCTTTTTTTTTATTTCTCTTTTTCTCTCACCATACACCAAAATTCACAATACACCCGATACATCCGATACACCCAATAAGTTTTGGGCCGAAAAAGCATAGAAATAATAGAAATATATAATATAATTATAAATAATTATAATTATATATTTGATTTTTGGCAGTTAACTTTCCATAATTATTTTCTCTTTTTTACTCCCCTTTATCACTCCTTCAATACTCCTTATATTTTATCATTTCATTTCCCATATTTTTATATATCATCATATCTAATATTTTTATATTATTTCATTTTTTATTAAACCATTATTATTTGTATAAATATATAGATTTTTTCTTTTATTCTTATTCTATACACAAAATTTTCAAACCATTTTTCATACATATACATATACAACATATACATATACATATATATATATATATATATACATATCTATATATCTATATACATTTAATTATATTAATCACATGAAAGAATAATATCAAGAATATTATCAGGAATATTATCAAGAATATTATCAAGAATATTATCAAGAATATTATATTTAAGAATAATATCAGGAATATTATCAAGAATTAAAAGATATTATTGTCAAGAATTAAAAGAATTAAAAGATATTATCAAAAATGATATCCCGAAAACTAAAATCAAATTTAAAAACTATATTTTTACCTTTAGTATTAATAATCATATATACAGCTTTGATAAATATAAATATACCAGAATTAGGAGATATAATATTTACCCAAAGTTTAATAATAATATTTAATGGACTGATCCATAAATTGAACAATTTCAAAATTTCAATATTGGTCATAAAAATTAATACAATATTATTAAATTCAAAATTTACATCCTCAATATTTACAGCATTCATTTTACAAAAATCAAATTTTATTTGTAATTCATTAAATTTAAATAATAATGAATTATTATTATTATCTCAACATTTTCAAAATTCCAATTCATCGTCACCTTTTGCGATAACCGCTGAAAAACAAAAAACTTTAGTTGATCGAATTGATCGAATGCAAGATGAAAATCGACAATTATTATCAAGGTTAACGGATTTAGAGAATGTATTTAAATCATCAACATATTCAATTGGACGTAATGTTAATATTCGATATCAAAAAGATTTTTATTATAATAGTGATAATAAAGAAGATTATTATTGTGATTATGCGAAATCAGTGAGAAGAAGAAAATTACTATGTAATAATAATAATAATAATTTGAATGATAAGAGTAATAAGAATGATAGAAAAGTGAAGAGAAGGAAATCATTATTTTCAATATCATCAAGTAGTATTAATTGTAGTAGTGTATTCTCAGTAGCACATTTTTCAAATGATCGAATTGATACTGATATTACAGATTATGAAACTTATGATCTTTATGGAAAGAGTATTCATCATGTTGAAGATGTTGAAGATATAGAAAATAATGGTGATAATGATGATGATAATAGTGATAGTAGTGAAAATGGTTATAATGGTGATAATAATAATAATAATAATAATCATCATAATAATAATGATAGTAATAATAATAGTAACATAATAGCAAATGAAAAATCAGAATCCGAGAATAAAGAATATTGGATGAATAGAATCGTAAAAATGTTGGAAGAAGAAGATCCACAAAAATCATATAATTTAGAACATGTTACAGCTGGGTATGTACTTATAATGATTATGTTATGATAATATGAGAATGATGATTAAAAATAAATAAATTGAAAATTTAATAAATAATATTTTCTTTTTCTTTATTCTCAGTGGTAATGGAAAAATATATAAAGCAGAACGAATCAATTCCATCAATTCAAATAATATCAACAACAACAATAAAATTTATGCAATTAAAGCAATTTCATTATCCACCACCAAATTATTAAATCTTACATATGCCGAAATAATGTGTTCAAGAATCTTGAAGCATCCAAATATTATTGTACATTATAAACAATGTATATTAAATAATAATCAAGATTATGATGAATATGAAAATTATTCACAAAAGAAAAAAAAGAAAAATAATAATAATAACAATAATAATAGTTTAATTTGTAGTAACAATACATTATTTCTAATAATGGAATTTTGTAGTGGAGGATCATTATGGGATATTAGAAATCGTAAACCCAATAAGCGATTTAATGAAATGGAAATTACATTTGTTATGAGAGAAGTATTAAAAGGATTAGAATATATACATGATTTAGGGATTATACATCGAGATGTGAAAGCTCAGAATATATTAATTGATAATGATGGCAAGGTTAAGATTGGTATGAATTTATTTAATTTATTATATATTTTCTCTCTCTCTTTCTCTATCTCTTATATCTTTTCACAAATATCTTTTAATAGCTGATTTCGGATCAGTATCATTGTGTTCAAAAGCCTCATTGAAATTAGGAACTTTATATTGGATGGCTCCAGAAGTATTAAGAGATAATCAAGTTTACGATTGCAAAGCAGATATTTGGTCGTTGGGTATAACAGCAATTGAATTATTTGATGGAAGACCACCTTGGTATCCTATGGGACAACGAAGAGTAATAATTGTTTATTATCACATTGTTACGATTATTATTATTATTGTTATTGTTATTATTGTTGTTTACTTATTTTTTTATTTTTGATTCTTTATTTTTTTTTTCTTTTAAAAATATAGGTATTAGAATTAATAAGAACTGTGGGTACACCACCTCTGCCTTTAAGTGTTTCCGAAGATTTTGATTCATTTTTAAGAAATTGTTTAACAATGAAACCTCAAGAACGTCCTAATGCAAATGAATTATTGTCACATGAATTTTTGGATCATTATAACGAAATAAGAAGTTGGAATGATTTGAAATAATGAAATTGTTATTAATTTTTATTAATTGTATCGAATTTGTTTAATTGATAATTAATAAAAAATTGAATTATAGTTTTTTTTTGCAGATATAATTATATATATATATATATATATATATATTTATACATCTTTCTAATTATTAATAATATAAAATAATTTAAAATCAATATATATATTTAAATCAGCATATATATATCTCTATATATATAAAAATAAATATAAATAAAATAATATTACATATACAAAATTTATCATGTGTATGGTTTTTTATCCTTCCCTAAGATAATTATTGATAATTGATAATTGATTATGTTCATTATATGACAATCTTGATAATCTTGAGTCCCGAAGTAAATGAATTGGATGAATTAGATCAAATGTTCATATAATTTTAAATATTAAATAATAATCCTCACCTAAAATAATATTTCCACATCCAAGATAATATCTCTAAATTTCTAAATTTCTTCGTCAAAGATTTATAAAATGCAAAACGGCATTATCTTCGTTTCATAAATGAACACCAAATTCATTTTTAAATTCATTACTAAATTTCATTACTTTCAATCTCCATTAAGATAATTATGCAAAGATCCTCTACGAGGAGGATTAAGTGAATGAGGTGGAGGTGGAGGTGGTGGTGAATGAGGCGAATGAGGAAAATAAGGCGAATGAGGTGAATAATAATAATTATTATTATTATTATTACTATTATTATTATTCACATGTCGAATATTAGAATTAGAGTTTGAATTCCGTAACGTCGATGCATTACTATTGCCGATAATTCCATTATAATTATCTCGTAATGAACTTAATGAACTAGATTTTGATAATAAATTAGATGATACATTATTATCTCGAAGATTTGGTGATGAATTTAATGTTCTTAACGAAACTGGACTCAGTGATGGTGATCTAAGCAATCCATTTGATTCTTCATTCCCTAATTGATTTGAATTAACAGCTAAATTTCTATATCATAAAAATAATTAATAATTAATAATGGATAATAAATAAATAATAAAATAATTATTGTTGTTATGAAATATCTCACCGAATTCCATTCCATGATTGTTTTTTAACTAAAGGTGAATCTTTGTTATTATTATTATTATAATTATTATTATTATTACTATTATTAATGTTGTTAATGTTGTTGTAGTTGTTATAGTAGTTGTAGTTGCTATTATTATTATTATTATTATTACTATTATTATTATTATTATTATTAATGTTACTAGAAAATCCAGTTAAGACAGGACTAGAAGGTAAACCATTCGTTGTTGTCCCTACTGTTGAACGTCTTCTATCATCTCTATTTGATAGAACTCCTGTAATTGATGAAATTGATGAACTCGTCGCAAAATTTCCAAATGTTGGACTTGGTAAATTTTCCATAAAACCAAATCTTTTATCAATAACTTTATCAAAAAATGCATTAATTTTTTCAGCTGCTATGGAATTTGGTGAAAAATGGGTAGGTGCCAATGTACACTTTATATAATTAATAAATATAATTAATAAAAATATAATTATAAATTATAATTTGAATATAATTAATAATTCAATATTAAAATATAATTTATTACATACCAAATTTACACAATCACCTCCATATTCGTCGACAATACTATATCTTCTCTGGCGACCAGTTAATTCTTGTTTAACAAGATCTGCTTTAGTGCCAACTACTAAAATTGTCACATTTGAATGACGATCTCCTATCTGCAACTCAAAATCATAACCTAAAAAAATATATATATTAAATTTATTATTATTAAATTTATTATTAAATTTATTTTAATATTATTTATATTTATTTACCATTAGATCTACTTCCACTTAATCCATTATTATTACTTCCACTCATCCCCCAACTTCCTGATTCATTTCCATTATTATTATTATTATTATTATTATTATTATTATTGTAATTATTATTATTGTAATTATTATAATTGTAATTATTATTATTATTATTATTATTATTATTATTATTATTATTGTTATTATTATTGTAATTATTATTGTAATTATTGTTGTTGTTGTTGTTGTAATTATTACTATTATTGTAATTATCATTATTATTATTATTATTATTATTATTATTATTATTATTATTATTATTATTATTATTATTATTATTATTAT